TTTTTTTTCAGAAAAATATATAAAACAGAAATATGAAACTGTGACTACAAATGCTTTTTATCTTAAATCAAGGTAAAATATGAAACTTCAGCTTTCATTTTTCTCCATGAAATCTCTTTAATTTAACAACTGGGGTTTTCCCCCAGAGATGAAAAGACAACTTCAAATATGATAATTAAGTATTTAATAATTTTCCTTTGTAACACACAGGATCAATGTAATTCAAATTTTTTGACACCATAAGTATGTAAACAAAATCCTCATTTGATAATTAAAGAGTAGCCCTGAGGAGGTTAAGTCACTGAAATATGCAACCGATAATGACAGGTGAAGGAGAACCCAGTACCCCAGGTGGAAATGCTGTCAGAGCCCACCCCAGGGAACCACTTCCTTCCATGCCATCCTTCAGCCACATCTATGACATCTTTAGCTGCAGGTCCTATTTACAGACCCTTGGACAATCTTAACACACCACTCTCAACCAAGACGCTTGGGAGAAAAATTTGGTCTGGGCTCACCTCTTCTCTTATATCCCAAGATGCTTCCAAAGGTCAAAAGCGCAGCATATCCAAAGCCAATCAGGTCCATTGGTAAAGTTGCAATTCTAAAGCAAGGAGGAAGGGACACAGATGAAGAGTTTGGGGTAAATGTATATAAAGGTGATATGCACTCTTTATAATTCTAGAAATTAATTTCTCCAGTTTACTATGCAAAGGGAAGCTCACTCTTCACCTATCCCAATGCTTAGCCACTGTGCCTTCCCCCGAGTCCTCAACCAGCCATAGCACTCTCAGACACTCTCAGGGGGGACACCTCAAGTTGATTCACCTTTCCTTGTCTTCAACACCAGCTATACATACCCAGCTATTAAGTTTCTTCCACTTCTTCAACTAAGATTTCTGCTCTGGTAGCAAGCCTATGCAGTGGACTGTAATATCACAATCGTCACTTTTACTTTCATGCCTAGACTAAACCCAACCACCCTCCACACTACTTCCTTATCAACCTTTTCCCCTAACTTTTAGCCTTTATAACGACCTCCCAGCCTCCGTAACCACCCTGGCCTGCACCTCCTGACTGCTATGGAGAACACTGCTCTTCTTCCTCTAAGTTCTTTACATGAATAACTCCCCCTTATGATCTTTTCACATTTGTATCCCTGGCCTCCTTATACTGAAGAACAGAAAAAGGGTAATGTGGATGTTTGCTGACTGAACCAAAGATTTTAAACATTTGCTTTGTCATTAGCGTTGTTATGAGATAGCTCTCCTGCAGTGGCAGAGACATCCACACTGACCCCATGACCAGTGAATATAAAGAATATAATGAAGCCCTGGCACAGTGTTAACTGAAAGATGATGATATCCTGTTAATGCATCAAAAGCAACATATGAACTACAGATTCAGGGGTAAGAAGTTCCATTGAATTCCAGTTCCCAGGATTCTAAGATGCAAGAGAATGATGGCTACAATAGCTTGCAACAGGCTGGAGAGCAGGCATTGGTCACTAGCTGGTTGTTAGTCTGCGGACCTTGCCCCATCACTAACACCAACTCTTCCCACAGTGAGAACAGATAAAGATGAGCGCTAAAATTCTTTGCAGCTTTTTAAATGTGCTAAGATTTCTGATAGTGCTTTTATAACTTAACTCTTTAGTATTTCCTCCATGGGGAAAACAAGGTATAAAATTTCTTTGTATTATATGTATTTGTAACTCAATTCATCACTTAGGTTGAACAGCTCTCTTACTCCCTTAAATAACAATCAACAAATGAACCCAGGAGAACAGAAAAGGGAGTCTGCATTTATTATCTCAGCATTAGCTAGAACTTACTGTGAGGAAGGGACTGAGGGTATTTGAGGCACAGGCAGAGATGCAGGCACTGAAAACGAAGCAGCACTGGAAGCTCCTCAACATCTGTGGGAAAAAGAATTAAAAAAGGAGAGTGCATCTGTGCCCAAGTAGTGCACAGTGGGCCTGACCATATAGGAAGCATCTGTGTACAAAAGCCTCCTGCTCAGGCTATACCAGAAAAGACAGAGATTCAAGCTTCGGTGATCAAGAGTGACTTGAGAGAGGCCTGGAGGCTGTGAAAGGGTGAGAGGCTGCTGTACAAATGATGGCAGCGCTGTCACTTGGCTGTCAGTAGGGACGATCTGGATGGTATGGACATACTTGACTGAAGGTAAATATGTGCAGAGGAGCTGGGTACCCCAATGGGCTAGGTCTTCAGGAAAATGAACATGGACAAGGCACTGGTCAGTATTCTCCTCTCCCCTTCCTTAGGACTGGTGCTTATCTTGTAAGGTTCACCAAGCATACAGATAGACAGCAAGTCTCCAATCTGGAACCCCAGAGAGGAGGGCTGTCAGCAGTGCCACAAAAACAAGACTAACCTCTACCTCACCCTACCCTCCCATGCCCAGAGTAGTCATACCATTCAAGCCCCTCTCCCACCATGACTTAGCAGCTGCAAGATCAGGTGTCAGTCAGATCTAGGGAGGTTTGGAAAGGCTAAACATCCAAAATCAGATAACACTCACAGCACCACCTGCTGGGAAGGCCATATATGACAAGCCCACAACTAACATCAATTAATGGTGCAAAACTGGAAGCTTTCTCTCAAAGATCTGGTATAAATAAGAAAGATACTCATTTTTTTTTAAAAAGATTTATTTATTTATTCATACAGAACTGGGGTACAGGCCAGAGATGTGGAGGGTGAGAGGATTCACCAGAGACAGAGTAGGGAGCAGAACAGGCAGATGGACAAAGTACACTGCTGAGGGGAGCAGCGGGCGGGCCAGAAGAGGTCTGCCACGCCATGTGGATCTCCTCCGGGGCAGGTAGGGATCGAACTCATGTGGAAGTGGTTTAAGCTTCTTAGTGCTGTGCTTTAACCCGCTGCGCTACCAGGGAGGGCCAGAAAGATACTCATTTTTACCACTATTCTACACCATGCTAGTTAGTACAATTTGGGGTACTAGTTAGTGCCATTAGGCTAAAGAAAGATGAAAGGAGTTCAAACTGGAAAGAACACATAAAAGATCACTTCCTATAGCTGACATAATATCTACAGAAAACCCTAAAGATTCCACTAAAAAAACTACCAGAAACAGTAAGTCAGTACAGTAAAGTATCAGCTTACAGAGTCAATTTACAAAAACAGTGGCATTCTTACATGCAAACAATGGGCTAGAAGATAAAGAAGAAAATACCATTTATAACCACATAAAATTGAATACCAAGGAAAAAACATAACAAGGAAGTGAAGCGACCCTGTACGATAAAAACTATAAAGCATAGTTGAAATAAAGAATGGAAGGAAATGGAAGGATAGCCCCTACTCATGCATCGAAAGAATTAGCATTGTTAAAATGGCTGTTTTACCCAAAGCAATATACAGATTCGGCAATGCCTATCAAAGTTTCAACAACATTTTTCAAATAAAGCAAACACTACTAACATTCAAACTGAATCACCACTCTATTAGACAAAGCAATTATAACAAAAGGAGAGTGGTAGCAGAGGCCAAGACTTCAAACTATACTACAGAGCTATCGTAATTGAAAAAGTATAGCACTGGAATAAAAACCAAAAACCAATGGAAACCAATGGAATAGAATTGAGAGCACAGAAATAAACTCACACTTATATTAACAGTGAATCTGTGCTAAAGGAGCCAAGAGTAAACACTGGAGAAAGGAAAGTCTCTTCAACAAATAATGTTGTAAAACTGTACATTCTTTTCCACATGGAAAAGAATAAAACTAGGCCACTATCTCACACTGCCACAGAAATATTAACTCAAATGAATTAGACTTGAATGTAAGACCTGAAACCATAAAGTACATATAAGAAAACCTAGGCCAAACACTTCACCACATTGGCTTCAACAATTGAGGGTTCATCATTAATGAGAAGAAAGAGAGAGAGAGAGGATATAAACAAAATAGAACTGCATCAAACTAAAAAGCTATACAGCAAAACCAAAAGACACCTTATTGAGAGGGAAAAATATTTGCTTGGCATACATCTAACTAGGAGTTGATATCCAAGATCTACAAAGAGCTCATACAACTCAACAAAAGGAAAACAAACAACTCAATGTAAAAATGGGTAGCAGAGCTGAGCAGATGCATCTCCACACAAGACACTGGATACCCAAAGATACATTAAAAAAAGTTCACCATTGCTGATCATCAGGAAAATGCAAATTCAAACGACAATGAGGCACCATCTCACACCCTTGCAAAAGACCCATAATAATACAGAAACAAGTGCTGGCAAGGGTACTGAGAAAAAGGCGCTCTGTTACACTGTGGTAGGAGTGCAGACTTGTTTAGCTCCTATGGCAAATAATACCAAGGTTTCTCAAAAATTAAAAATGGATCTATTAACTGATACAGCAATTCCACTCTGAGCTATCTACCCACTAACTACAAAAGCATTAATTGAAAAGGATGCATGCACTATGTTTATTGCAGCCCTATTTACAACAGCCCCGTCATTGCAATAACCAAAGTGCCTGAGGACAGGTAAGTGGATTAGTTACTGTGTGGTACAGATGCACATGGCGCCATATAAACTTGGAAAGGCCAGACAGCATCTTGGCTGCAATGCAGCAAAATGATTCGCTAGGTATGAAAACACACTTAGTGGCTCTGCCTTGCCCTTAGCCTTCCAAAATTTGGGACACCACGAATAGATTTTTCCGAAGCTGATACAGTATAAAAGGCATTTTCACATGTTGAGTATCGGTAATTGCCTACCCCAGAACTCCTTGGGGCTCAGAGACACCTTTTCGAGTGAAGTCCGGGTGATGCTAGGGAAGTAAAAAATCCTGCCAAATATTTTTACAGGCGTCCAGGAGCCCCACCCGTTTCTCCACCTCTCCCCAGCTCCAGGAAGGTGGGGAGGATGGGTGGTAGATTCAGGTACTCAAGTGAAAGGAAGAAATTCGCAGAATTCCCATGAAGAGAAGAAAAAACGATTCCCAAGAGAGCACATACCCAGCCCCTCCAGACTCATCCCAAGGTCCTCGACATCGCTATGGTTTACCACGCCAATAAGAAGAAAATTCATGACAGGAAGGTCTCCATTGTGGGGTGTTTAGCTCACCTGCAGGCCCCAGCGCTCAGTGCGGCTGAGAAGCGAGAAATCGGGATGCAGAGGCCGGCAAACTAGACCCCTGGCGTCCGGAAGCAGCCCTCGCTCGCCGCGCCCGGAGACTCCGCGCCCCACTTTTCAGCCTCGGGCTGGGGCGGCGGGTTCCGGCTCGCCAGCCCGCCTGCACGCATGCGCCGGGTCTCCCTCCCCCGCCCTCGGCGCTGTCTGTCCTACCCGGGTTGGCCCGGCCAGCGGAGGGGCGCGGTGGCGGAGACCAACGGGAGCTGCCGGGCTGTGATGTCCAGAGACAGTGGGATCGGAACCTGGCCCAGAGTCCTGGAGCGGGAAGCTGTCCGGAGCAGGATTGAAAAGCAAGCACAGGGAGTGGGTATGGCTCTAACAGGAATCCCATCCCAGAAGTGGAAAGATTGTTAACCACGAAGTTGATTCATCATTCAAGAGACGTTTGTTTCCAACAACCCAGACCTTTTTACAAGGGATTGTCCCATTTCCAGGGGAGGTGTTGGGAAGAGTGCATATCCTGAACAACTTCACAAACTCAGGTTTTATGGACTCCACACCCACGCCATGCCAAAGAGGTAGGAGGCACCAAGGACTGTAAACCCTATAATGTCATCCCCAGGAAAGGGAGGGTGCTGGGAAGTAAGGGTGGAGTTAACAGCCCAGCTTGGTATATAACCAGACTTCTGGGCCTGGGCAGAGGCTGTTTTTTCACTGGCCTTCAAGTGTGCTGTTGGGGTAGGACACATTCACCAATATGTCCCTTTTTCCCAAGGTTATTCCTCTCTTCATTTACCCTTTTTAAAAATAAACCCTTTATTAACCTTTTGTATGTGTGCCTGCAGTTAGTCTCATTATAAGTCCCTTTTAAGTGGATGGGCGAGGACGCACACTCAGATCACTCCATTTCACATTGGGGCCGCCCTGCAATAGCGGGAGCTAAGGTTCAGAGGTGAAGTGATATGGTTGTACCAGGTATCAGCCCCTAAATGGAGTGGGTAGATTTGTATCCAAGTCTGTCTCCAAGCTGGAGTGCCATTCATTATGCCACATACTCTGGGGTGATTTAGATGACAGGAGGTCGCCATCCTGTTTTATACTACAGGACAAGGGTTTGCTAGGCTTAAATATTTGAAGGAAAAGGCATACAGTGCCAGAACTTAAGGTTCTTTAAATCTGTCCTAGTCCCAGGATAACTGGTTCCCAGGAATGAAACTTAAATTGACTTGGAATTATCCCTCCTATAACAACTTCTCATCTCACTCCAGTTAGCCTTCTAGGCTGTATATAATAACTGATGTTTTTCCTTAAGTAGTCCTCAGATCTGGAGAAAATCCTGTATTCATCAAGTAGCTCTAGGGATGCCATAAGGCTGGAATAAATAAATCTTTTAAAGAGAGAGAGAGAGAGCTGAAATGGATTAAAGACCTAGACATAAGAACAGAAACCATAAAATACCTGGAAGCAAAGATGGGCGAAACACTACATGACATACACTTCAGTGATCTTTGAAGATACAGTACTCAATGCAATGATAGTGACAGGGAGGATAAACATATGGGACTACATCAAGTTAAAGAGCTTCTGTACAGCAAAAGAGACATTACAGAAAACAGAAAGACATCCCACTGATTGGGAAAAAATTTCCTCACACAAAACTAGTGATAAAGGATTGATCACAAAGATATACAAAGAACTATTGAAACTCAACAAAAATAAGCAACCCTATCAGAAAATGGGCAGAAGAGTTTAAAAGACACCTCTCCAAAGAGGAAATGCAGAGGGCCAACAAGCATATGAAAAAATGTTCAACATCACTTGTAATAAGGGAGATGCAAATTAAAACCACAATGAGATACCACCTCACTCCAGTGAGAAT